TATTATTATATAAAATATAATAAAAACTACTATTATTATTATAACAAATTTTCTTCTTCCTGCACTACAATTCAGTAGTGATCCAAGGCCTCCCGCAACATCAACCGCCAGTCTTCTCGGTTCGTTGCCACTGCCCTCCAGTTTCTTACTCCTAAGATGGACCGTGAATCCTCCGCCACTCTATGTGCCCACCCAAGTCTCAGCCTTACAACCCTTCTCTTGCTGTGTATCATTTCTCCCAAAAGTTTCTTTGGAATCTCATCATTCTTCATTCGAGCAGCATGGCCTTCCGATCCTTATGAATCTGACGACATTTGTGTCATTATACATTCTTTCTATTGTGTCTTCCATCTCTGACTAAGGTCATCATCCGGTTCAAGGTCTTGGTATTTTCGATCCATTGATTCCGTAAAAATAAGTTTGTCCCGAGGGTTTCGGAGCTTTTGCACGTTGATCCTTTTTGCCTTCTCATTTGTCATGTTACGTTGTAGCGATATTCTAGCACGTTTTCTTGAAATCATGGGGTAATGATCAGAGTCCACATTCCCACCTCTGAACACTCTTACATCCATTAGACTCGTGGCGGACCTAGCACTTATAAGGATGTGGTCTATCTGATTAGTGGTTACACCGTCATTGGATCGCCAAGTAGTGAGGTGGATTCTCTTATGGGGAAACATGGTGCTTCCTATCACTAATAATCTTGCTGCTGCAGAGCTGACGAGACTCTGACCATTTTTCGTTAGGTGAATGGTATGTATTCCAATTACATAACGAAATTCACGATCTTTTCTGATTTGTACATTACAGTCTCCGATCACAATTTTTGGGTCGGCTATAGGACAATCATCCATACATCTCTCAAGATCTTGATAAAATGTTTCCTTTTCCTCTTCTAATGATGGTTCCGTGGGGGCATCCACATTAATGATGTTTAAATTATAGAATTTTCCTTTTACTCGCAGATAACATATTCGTGGATTGATGGATTTTGAAATCAATTACCAGCTGGGAGATCCTTTTACTAAAAATGAATCCGGTCCCAAATGCGTGAGTTCGCTCGTTACAACTATAATATATAACATGGTACTTCTAGGAGAACATCCTATTCCTCGTCCTGCAATTACAATTGCATGAGGAGCTGGTCGAGTGCGCATCTCTCGACTGGTCGGTAAAAAGAGAGAACATCCCATGTTCCCAGTTGAAAGTTCATTATGCAGGCATTGTGTCGTTTCCTTAAAATCAGTCCGGCATATCTTTGTACGGGTTTCTTAATACTTAAAATTAAAGGGTGTGCTGTTTGCAGGGTGAGGGCGTCAGAGTAATTGTTCCACCAACCTGATGGGGCCAGTGGCTGATTGCAATCTATAGATTATAACTAGAGACCGGATTTCCATGTTATTGCACTTTTTATTCGCTTGCATGTAAAAACGCCGGACCCGAACATCTATCCGGTTCAGGACCTGTAGAATAACATATTTAAGTTTTACATTGCACGAAATTGCACGTTTTTGGCTTTAATTGCACGATTTTGATTTTTGTTCCCTTAAATTGCACATGTTTGTAATTTTGTGCTAAATTAGACGATAAATAAATACAAATGTATAAGTGAGTGTGTTAATATTTATTTTACTATTTTCTTACTGTTACTTTTTATTTTACTATATTGTTCAAATTACATAAAAAACATGAGGATGGCAAATAATTTTGTGTTAAGCTAAGATCGTATTAATTACAAAGGAAGAAGTAAATACAAGTGAGATCTATTCTTGAAATAGGATAATAAAAAGCTGCTTTCCTAGAATTAGCTGCTTTGTTAGTAAGACATTTATAGTTATTGTTTCGACTTGAATCCTCACTCACCGTTCAACCCTTCAGTATCTCTTCTGGCTTTAAATTGAATTGTAGAAATTTCATTTAAAAAAAAAAAAAATAATGCTGAAAGTAAAATGTAGTCTCTCGTCAAAAAAATAAAAATAAAATCTGTATATAAAAATACCAGGATTTGAAATGTGAGGACAAAAAATTTGATGAGAAAGTTCTATACACCTTATGATTGTGGAACATGTATGAAAAAAATATTCCTATCCTAGAATTAATTTATTTATTTTGAGTTAGAGAACGTAATCTCCAAAAATATTTTTTTAGTGATATAGAAAATCAGCTTCAACACTAATATTTGAACACTTGAAAATCTCAAACATTACAGTTTATTTCAATTTTCTTTTAAAATTCTTTAAATTTTAACAAAAGCTTTTTGGAATGTATGATAATGAAAATTTCAACCATATTAAAAAATAAAATTTTTATTATTATTTTTAATAAAAGTTAAATATCTAAAAATTTTCTGGTCTGTATAATATATAGGTAACTATAAATTCTACCTTCATTTATTCCTTCAAACCTCCAATGTTCTGCATTATTTGATTATAATCTGGAATTTAATTTTTAATGTAACATTTCAATTTTTTTTTCTAAAAAACTCTCGGTTAACTGAAAATCTGATAAGATTTCGATGTATTAATGTTATAAAATAAATAATATTGAAGTTTTTAGCTGTTAATTACGCAATTTTAGGTTTTTTTATTATTATTACTGCGCGAAAATCCGGTCTATAATTATAACAAATAGAAAATATTTTTTTAAAAACATTAATTTTCTCAGTGCAAGCAGGAGTTCCCAGAATTGGAGTGCTTACCGCAAGTTGTGCTATCATAAGTTTTGAAGCGGGCACATATTTACTGTGTAACAAATTTTTCTATGGAAATATATTTTTAGAAGGTTTCAATTGAGAACTTTCAAACCAAGGAATAAGGGAAAAACCTAACTACATTTTTTAGCGCGAGAGCAAACAATGTTTGTTAGGGGATGAGGATGATTTATGCGCTATCGCCCGTGAGATGGATGGGCAATGAAAACAGTCAAAATATCTGTCAAGAAAAAACTGAGAAAACTACTATAACAGAAAAAAAAAACATTAAAAAATTCAAATATAATTCAAAATGCTCCATATTCACTAGAGAGGGAGCTCTACCATTATGAGTCTTTATTTTATAGATATTCTAGAAAAAATTGCATTGTAACGGATTCGTGGAATGTCTGACATAGACAACCCATTTCCAAGCAATTATATAATTATAGAAATAATAATTGTGGGTTTATGGTTGGCTGCAATGAATAATGAAGAGAATGATAGTTGTGGCGATCAGTCAAAAATAAAAATGGCAAAAATAAATAATAATATTTATTTTAACATTTGCCGACGTTTCGACCCGAAGTTCAGGCCTTCATCAGGGCTGAGAAAAGAACCAGATAACAATTGGTATGAGAAACATAAACAATGTAGGTAAAAAAAAAAAATTAAAGTATAATGAGATAGATAATTGAACATTAAAGTAAAATAAAGCAGGTAGAATAATGACAATAACAAGAACTAAGAAATAAATAATAATAACGGTTACAAAGAGTCGACTAATAACATAAGAACTAAAATGGTAATCATAGAATAAAATGTAAACAGAGAAAACGAACATGAAGTTATATAAGAAATAAATATAGATAGAAAAGTTAAGATAGTGTAAATAGAATAGTTAAATAGAAAATTAAAATATTGTGAAGTCTATCAAAATGTAATGACTACGTATAAGGGAATAAACAGTTAAAATAAAGTACAACATAAATGAGAAAATGTATCAATATATACAAAGTGGAGATGTAAATATGGAAAATAGAGCGAAAAGGAAGGAAGAATAAGATAAGATAGATAGTCGACTGACCTGATCGCCATTGATCGAAGAGATCGCTAATAATAAATGTTTAATGTAAGGTATAATAAATGTATGGTAGGAAGTAATCAATTTCATTAGCCTTCGTTTGGGCACTAGCTTACTGCTGCATTGTGGGAAATAAAAAAGCTGATCAAGCAGCCTATTTCGCTAGAAGTGGAGAAAAAAAAGTGGGTGATGAGATTAAAAGAGGTCAACTAAGAAGAATGGATAAACATGACAAAGAAAACACTACTAGCAGAGTGGGAGAAAGAATGGAAAGGCAAAGAGAAAGAAGTGAAACGTAATTGTGGTAAATGGCTCATTAACTCCAGAAGACCGAGGAGAGAAGAGGTTATGCTGTGCTGCCTTACTCATGGCTACCTTCAGAGAGGACTCGAAGCGCCCACCTATGAAGAACGTAATAACATGCCTCAAACAATGAAACACTTAATGGAAGAATGTCCCCAATTCGAAAACAAATAAAAAAATAAGCTTAGCCAAAACATTTACAGGAAAACTAAGAGTGAATCACTACTTTGTTAAAATTTTTGAAGTTGACAAAGTACTACAAAATAATATTATAAATTATGGTAAAACGTCAATGACTCTTGAGTGTAGAAAAATTCAAAATCTGCCTTAACACAACAACCGATAAAGAAGGAATTAAACCAGAATTAAAAGAAAAAAAAATATATAACCTAGTTTGCAATGCCAATTAATCCATATTATTCCCAAAAATTAAATTCTTTACAAGTTACAAACATGTAAATTAATAATTCAGTAAATTGAATGATTAAAGTCAATTTTAATCATGAAAACGAGAAAGGAAAGACATTCTAAATTAATTACTTATTACCCAAAATTAGTAACATTGTTTAACTTTTTCTATACTGTACTAATTAATTATGGTTGATTCTATTAAGAAATTGAATGAACAAATAAAAAAAAAAATTAAAACAAAATCAAAAATTTTTCATTGTCTTGTACAATGCTATTACTATTCAACTTTTAGTATTGAATCTAAAACAAAGGGCTTAATTTTCGAAAGTAGAGCTAGATAAGTAAACTCATTAGGAAATAATGAAGTAAACTACTGTCTATTATGAACTTGAAAAAAACAACATTAAAAATGTAAAATTGTATTAAGAGATTATTGATGGAGGGAACGAACATACGAGGCAGAGTTTGAATAACAATGGTAGTGACTAACCACAAACAAATGAGGCAACTCACCTTGGGAAGCCGATTGGTCAGTGATGCCTTTGTCATCCTCCAGCTCTTCTCTGCTAATGTCTCTCCTCACCAAGACCCTGCAACGGAAAAAAGTTCTTTTTAGAAGTTCTCATATGGAACAAATAATAGAAAAGTATATTTAAGGGTTGGCAGTATTTGTTAAACAAGGGGAGGTTACGAACTTGGGGTCGCCGATTACATTTAGAAATAGAAATAGAAAAATCATCTTTATTCTGGGACTAGGTGCCTTTAGAATAACAGTATTGTTCATATAAATTAAACATAAATCTAGCCAAAAGACTTATTACAATGAATAATAACAAAATACTAGTAATAAATTAAGTATTAATTAAGCTCTCAGGATAAATTAACGAGAACAGTTGGGTAATAGGGGTTCAGTACTACAATATTGGAGCTAAAACAATAGCATAATAATTACTGATTGAAATTAGAAAGGAATGCAAAATCAATATTATAGGCAAAGCATTGTAGTGATGGAATATAAACATTAAAAAAATAATAATAACTGTTAATATGTAAGGAAAGAAATTGTAAAAACAAAAAAAAAAAAAAGATATACATATGTTCCCTAAGATATTTAAGTGATTATGCGTAAAGATCAGGAGAAGAAAAAATAAAATAAAGTGTACATATATATATACAAATAGCGAGGATTGCGTTGAAGATAATTAGAAAATAAAATACATTTCAACGAAATACAAATTCATGAATAAAAAATTTAGAAATGAAGAAAAACAAATATTATCTACTCACAATGCTTAGTGAGTAGTGATGAAAATTCACGTTAAACACAGAATAAAACAATAAAAAAAAAATAATGTCTAAAGAAAATTAAAGCCTTATTACATAGTATGGATTTAACCAGCGTCTGATTGGATTGTGAAGAGGAATTGGAATAAGAGGGTTTTAAAGGTGGATAAGAATGATGCATGGAGGATTTTTAGTGGGATGGAATTCCAGAATGCAGTGGAACGGACAACGAAGGAACGTTATTGTGAAAATTACACACGAAAAACGCCTCCAGATTTTAACTATGCATTCTGAAATTATTTGGAATTCGTTGCCCTATAAATCAGACTTGGGCAGTATTTCAAAGTTAAAATACAAATGTTATAATTAGGAAAAATTCCAAACCACACAGCCTCATGTATGCAAAATGCAAGCAAAGAAAACAAACCCGTCAACGTTAATAGAAGAACGGTTAATAGAACATCACTGCATGACATCCAAACGCATACCTTCATACATACTGACTATGCGTTTGGATGTCATGGAGTGGTGTTCGAGTAGCTGTTCTTTTCTTTCCAGACGATGCCAGAATTGGCGAAACGTTAACGTGTTTGTTTCCTTTGTTTGAATTTTGGAGACATAATAATAAAAAAGGCTGTGGAGTTTAGTTTAGAATTTTTCCAAATTACAACCTTATAACATTTATGTTCTGTCTCTCGATTAGTTCGTTACTAATTTATATTAATTCAAATACATAATAAAATATTTTTTGGAGACACTTTTAGAAGTAAAATATGACTAGTTACTCTGTTATTGATATTATTATGAAGCTTTGTTAGTGATTGCTCAAGTAAAGTTATTATACCAGGCCAAGCTTTGAATTTTGGTTTGGATTGTTTCAAAATTTCAGGTACGTTATTACAAGTTAAATAATATGTCTGCTATTGTTGCGAATCATGGATTACTGTATCTATCCTATATATATGTTGTAAATACTAAGATTTTTCAGTTATTTTTTATAGTATTGATTGTAAATTCGTATTGTACATGGATGGAATCATGGTTAGTAAGGGAATTAGCTAATAGATAATGAACGCTGGAATATAAAACATGTATAAACAGCATAAACTGACTAAGGAGCCGTTTCCTATTATGCAATATTATAACAGACAGGAAATGAATATTATACGTAGATATTAGGAAACGGAGAGCAATAAGTGGGTCATTACCCAACTATTGAATGCAACCAACAAACTAACAAAAATTAAGGAAGGAGTGTTCCTGGGTGACGGACATAAATATGCTAAATAGTGGTAAAACTATTTTATTAAAAGCCAACGTTTCGACCCGACTTTCCAGGTCTTCTTCAGGGAGGTGTGTTCAGCTAGGAGTTTCACTTACAACAGAGTTGAAGACCTTTTGAAGAAGACTTGCAAAGTTGGGTCGAAACGTTGGCTTTTAATAAAATAGTTTTACCACTATTTAGCCTATTTATGACCGCCACCTCGGACCATTTCCTTCCTTTATAATGCAACGGTAAACTATTAAATATCCAATTTAACAAAAATTAATTAAGAAATATTAAAAAATATTAAGAAAATAAAAATTACGAATTGAATTCTTAATTTGAATAGGGTGTAGATGGGGAACCTGCAGCCTCCAAACGTTATGCGCGATATTTATTAATTTAGTGATAGAATTAATTAATATTTAATTATTTAATTGCAAAAAATTGAAAATTGATAGTATTAAGTTGAATAAATGTATATGTGTATGTGTTTAGTGACAAAATAGCAATAATAATATTTGTATATAAAAAGCATATTTGTGGAGAAAATATAAATGACTTATGCCGCCTTTGCAAAAAATCAGTGGAGTCGATCCAGCATATAACTTCTGGATGCACAATAATGGCGGGTAAAGAATATTTACGGAGGCATAACAATGCAGCTAAAGTAGTACATCAAGCCATGGCCCAGAAGGTGGAACTGAGGGGTAACTATTGTCCGTATTACAAATATCATCCTGAATCATCTCCAAGCGTAATGTCAAACTATTCTGGGATCACCCTATACTTACAGATCACACTGTCCCACATGATAGGCCTGAAATTCTAATAGTCGATAAAGAAAAGAAAATAGCGTCCATTATAGGAATTGGAGTTCCTTCAGATGATAATTTGCACAAAGTAGTGGCGGAAAAAAAAAGAAAATATGTAGAATTGGCAGAAGAATTAAAACAACTGTATGATTTGAAGGAAAGTCGGATTTTACCATTAATAATTTCATGTAATGGATTAATACCAGAAGAATCTCAATCTTCTTTGCGTGAGCTGGACCGTTTGTGACAATGGAAAAAATGCAAATGGCAGTATTGTTCGTAAATTTACAAATATAAAATAATTTTGAAAATATATGAATGTAGTATTTGGTTGACCGATTCGATCCCCAATTGTTACTAACAACCATGTAAAGTGTGAAACAAATAAACAAAATAATAATAATAATAACAATAGTAAAATATAAAAAGAGGAAAATGGACCGGTGTGGCGGTCATAAAAAGACTAAAATAGTGTGAAAACTATTTTTTTTAAAGCTGTCGTTTCGGCCCAACTTTGCAGGTCTTCTTCAGGAGAGTTCATGCAGCATGGTTTAGGTTGAGTTTCAACCTCTACTCAAAAAGGAAATAAAAAAAAATACATAAATTTACTCACTCATTATAGCTTTAACTTTTCATTGCAATTATTAACAATCTTTAAATAACATATAAATAATTAATCTTTTAGACGTATCGGTCAATCTTATACGAATGATTCAAATTAGCCCAGACATATAGTTCAAATTCCACAAAACTTTTGGTCTTTTCAATAATGCAATCAAACAGAAAATGGGAAAAGGCCAATTAGTGAAATGGAGGTGGCAACCTAATTTCTTCTGCAGATGATATTTTGGATCGATGAAGCCGCTACTAACAAGACCTTTTCCTCGATAGCTCTGGCACGCAAGCCACCCACCCTGGACAGTATTTACTGGAAGAAAGCCAAGATTTTAGAGAGGATTCTGAACTTAAAAGAGATGACATAGCCCCTGAATTCCTCGAATTCAGATGTAAAAACACTCTGCTAGCTAAACAAATAGTGTTTGAGCTGTTTGGGACAGCAATGTTATTCCAAAAGATTAGCCGTTTATCTAGATTGATTCCAATATAGAAGGGATTTCTCTCAATTATTGGCGAATATTACAGTGTCAGAAGAAGTAGCCTTTTATGATAGCTCATAAAAAGTTTCTTGAATAATACGTTAAGTCTTTTGGAACTGCTAACCACTTATGCTGAGGAGACTATATAATTTTGGATAGTTCATTGAAGATGGGGTGAGTTCAGAGCATTAGAGAAAATTAATTGATAATAATCACAAACATTATAATAAGAGCACCACACTATTACTACAAGGTATGGAATAAAATAAATAAATAAAAAAGTACTAAAACAATCATAGTAATTATTAAAGTAAGGAATAGGGGATCCGTTATGTCAACCACTGAAGCATCCTAGTCCACGCATAGGAAAGCATACCGAGCGGTAAGAATCAGACAAGGGCAAAAAGTATTTTAATACTTTTTTTAAATACAGTATTTATTTAAAATAAAGTGTATTTGAACTGCAAAGTATTCAAACTGTTTTCAGAAAAAGTATTTCAATTACTTTAATTATTATTTTAAAATACAGTATTTTAAAAATAGTTTGCATTTTAATGGCAAAAGATGAAATACAAATACAAAATACTAACTGGGGGACAAAAGTCTATCATATGGAGAACTCTTCTATATGATAATTTACTTGGAGTATTTGAAATACAATATTTAAATTCCTTTTTTTGCAGTTACAAAGAATATATATTAAATTTTACTTCTTAAAGTGCAAAACGCAAAAAAGTTTTTATTTCATACTTTAAAATATTTTATTTGGGATATTTCTCAGGTCTGATAAGTACTTAGCTTTAATTGTTTAACCTGACATTTTCTTTACATTAGATTAGGTTAAATTAAAAATCATCCAAAAGATCGAAAATATTCAATTAATTTTAATTTTATTTAACTATATAAGAAATATATAATGAAAATGTTCTATGTGGGGGAGGAGTATGTGAATAGCTAAACTCAAAAACGAAAAGTGTTTAAGATAGAAATGTGCCTGGGATGCTATAGCATTTTTATAGCTGAAATCGGCATTGCATACATGCCATTTTAATAATAAATTGTCTCTAATTGTTATTAGGGATGGATTTTGTTGGCATTACAGACCATGTACATCTTTTGCATCTTTGTTG